GCAGGGAGCCCGATGTGGGGCTTGATCCCAGGACCCCGGGATCATGACCTGAGCTGAAGGCAGACACTTAACGACTGAGCCACCCAGGCGCCCCCATTACTGATTTATTTTAAGCTAGAATCCAAAATGGAAAATTTAACCTATCTATTCTATAAAGCTTGTATTGCATTTATCTTAGATGTAATTATAACAATATTAAAAATAGCTTCTTTTGGGGTGCTTGGGTGGCTCAGTCGTTGGGTGTCTGCCTCTGGCTCAGGTCAGGATCCCAGGGTGCTGGGATCGAGCCCCACATGGGCCTCCCTGCTCAGCGGGAGGCCTGCTTCTCCCTCTCCCACTCCCCCTGCTTGTGTTCTCTCTTGCTTTCTCTCTCTCTGTGTCAAATAAATAGAGAAATCAAAATCTTAAAAGAAAAAAATAAGAAAAAGAAACATGAAAAAAAAAGTTTCTTTTTGCTGAATGCCTACTAGGTGCCATACACTGAGCTAGGTTTAACCGATGTTTTCTTAAATCATCAAAAACAAAACAACAAAAACATAGAGGTATTATTAAGCCTATTTTATAAATGAGATCAGAAACATTAAGTTACTGGCCCAATGTCACAGCCAGTAAACGACAAAATTCAACCCCAGGTTGTTTGGCGGCTCTATTATCATCCTCTGTTCACTATTCCAGGTAGTTTCTGGAATGGGTTCTTTAGTTTTGTCCTACTGTAATTTCTGCTATTTTACTATTCCCTTCATTAATTAAATTACATCACAACTTGTATCTTTACTTGAAACTTTCAGATAAAAATCAGAGGGTACCCACATAAACGTAAAAAGGGCTTAGGCTTTGGGATATTAATAACTATAATAATAGCATTTATTCAGTATCTAATTCTAGAACCTGTGAGGTTTTAGATTTTAACATTGGTTAAATTTTAACATCGGTTTACCATCTAGTTAAGTGCCACGCTCCATAGTAGCCGCTCTACATATACTATTTAACCCACCCAGCAGTGCTACCTCTCTCCTCCCCCAACCGCTCGTTTCACAGACAAGAAAGAAGGCAAAAAATTGTTAAGAGTCGTGTTGGAGGACAAATCTAGATTTCATGTTTGCAATAATTAAGATGGATGAGCTATAATGCTTAGATAATAACTCCATCTGGTTAATGTTTAAGGCTTTTAACTATTTTGTGTTACTGCGGATTGTGTTACAATTACTGCTTATACTATTAAAGGTAGTATTATTTACCCAAGAGTTACTTAACGGTGAAGGCTGTACAACCTTCAGCTACAACAGCAATAAAATGTTCAAATGACAGAAGCGTCAATCCCATTTTATAATGGAGTTCTCAGAGCACATGCAGTGGTATTTCTTATTTTTTTAAAATTTTACTTACATTCAATTCATTCACATATAGTGTATTAGTTTCAGAGGCAGAGTTCAGTGATTATCAGTTGCATATAATACCCAGTGCTCATTACATTACATGCCCTCCTTAATCCCCATCCCCCATTTACCCCATCCTACACTCTTCCCTTTTTTGTTCTAAGATTTTATTTATTTATTTGAGAGAGAGAGAGAGAGAGAGCGCTCAAGCATATGAGCAGGGCAAGAGGGAGAGGCAGGCTCCCCGCTGAGCAGGGAGCCTCATGTGGGGCTCGATCCCAGCGATCATGACCTGAGCCAAAGGCAGATGCTTAACCAACTGAACCACCCAGACGTGCCCCCTCCCATTTTCTTATAAAAAAAACAGAGCTCCCTAAATACAATACTGTCAATGAAAAGCATGATTTGGGGAAGTTATACTTCAGTGACAGAAGCATGGCTGATTCAGATTTGAACTGCAAAGCTACGCATGTCTGAAAGTCCAGGAACTGGAGAATTACAATGAATGGTTAATCAATCTGTAAGAGACCAAAGTAATGCTGATGATACTAATTTATAATTTAATTGTGATTTATAATTAAAAAGTCACAGTAGCAGCAATTGGGAATAACTACCAATTTAACACTTATAATAAAGCATTATGTTCCCCAATCCTAGGAATTCCACACACTGTGCACATGCACAACAGGAGTTCTGAAATGTTTCTAAATACTACATGGCAACCAGATTTAGTAGAATACTGAAACAGATTCCTTAGCCTTATGTAAATGGAAGGTATAATGGAAATTCAAGTCATTAATCAGCTTTAATCAACAACTTGCACTTTTTATTTTATTTTTATTTTTTTAAAGATTTTATTTATTTATTTGAGAGCGAGAATGAGAGAGAGAGAGCATGAGAGGGGGGAGGGTCAGAGGGAGAAGCAGACTCCCTGCCGAGCAGGGAGCCCGATGCGGGACTCGATCCTGGGACTCCAGGATCATGACCTGAGCCGAAGGCAGTCGCTTAACCAACTGAGCCACCCAGGCGCCCCCAACTTGCACTTTTTAAAGATTCAGCTGATCCTGAGTAAAATTCTAAACTTTCGATATTACAGTTTATAAAAGGGACACAAATTAAAGCACATTAGACCAAGATCAACAGAACAAGCTTCTTATCGATTCCTCAATGCCCATGGAGCACACAACTCATGGCTCCAATTTGGTATTTAATAAATACTGCTGATTCAAAGTGTCAAAATGTTAGAAGAGATACAGTCCCAAAAGAAGGAGATATGATCGTTGCTTTCAAAATGTTAAGATTATCATGTAGACATGGGAATAGGCTGAATCTGCGATGCCTTTAAAGACAGAATTTCAATCATTAAGAAAAACCAACTGCAGGGCGCCTGGGTGGCTCAGTTGGTTAAGCGACTGCCTTCGGCTCAGGTCATGATCCTGGAGTCCCGGGATCGAGTCCCGCATCGGGCTCCCTGCTCGGCAGGGAGCCTGCTTCTCCCTCTGACCCTTCCCCCTCTCATGTGCTCTCTGTCTCAAATAAATAAATAAAATCTTTAAAAAAAAAAAAAGAAAAACCAACTGCAGGTAAAATTTGCTTCCAAATAAGAAGGAATTTTGTGATAATCAGAGCTGCCCAGTAATAAAAAGGGCTGTTTTAGGTCAGAACAATCTTTCCCTGCAAATATTCTATGAGAATGAAGGATTATCTTTCAGGGATTAGTTATTACAATTCCTGGATCCTATAGATGACTGAACTACACTATCTCTAAAGTCTTTCTAGAACTTCTCATTTTAATTTCCTCTACTAATCACCACTAATTTGTGATTTAGGTGTCTGCCTTTACATTCACAATCTGCTTTCATGTTGATATGCTGTTTGAACTTGTATCTGCATAAAACTACTTGACAGAATATTTCCACCCAGATATTTAGGACCCTAAAACAAAATTGCACCCTGCTTTAAAATGTCACTTTAAAAGCCCCAACAGGTATTTATTAAGATCTAAAGATCTAAAATTGTATTATATATATATATATGAACAGGAATAAGTAAAAGAGAATTTGGGAATGACAGCAGGAGTATTTCATGCCATAGTCATAGTCACCTGACACTGGCATGGATTTGGGGAAACTGGCGAGGCTGGTCTCTGATGCGCTCTGCAGCTCCCGGAGCCGAGCCAGGTACTGCTGCTGCCCCAGAGCACCGTCTTCACTGTCGAACGGTCTTTTCTGAGCAAGCCCTTGCTTCTGAAATGTCAACTTCAAACCACCTTCCTGTTAACAAACACCATTGTCAAGAAAGGAAAAATTAAAAAACTCATTTCAGTTATTAAGAGAATTTTTTTACTTAGAAAAAGTGAAGTAAAAACCCTGAAACATTGATCAAGTTCTCTGCTTATTCTGAAATCAACTAAGGAAAAAAAAAATCAACCCATTTATATAATGAATATTAAGTTTTCTTTCTTAAAAGAAAAAAATCCAGGTACTATATACACTTTTCTGAGCAAAACAAAGCTTTTTGTGTAACTACTACATTGTAACATTATTAGCTTCAGACATACATCTCTAAGTACATTATTCAAATGACATTTCAGAGGACGTTACCTATGTATTAGACATGGAGTAATCCATTTGGCTTCAAAAATCATACTGAAAAATGAAATGTTACTGATAACAGGGCATGCTAAATGTTTAAAAGAGGAAGTGCACGCACATACCATTTAAATATTATATAAAAGAACCAAAACAATTAGAATTTGTCAGACTGTTTAAGAAAAGCATTCTTGATCGGCAGAAGGACTATTTTCAGAAGTATAGGTAGAGAAACATATTAAATGATGATCCTTCTAGTAGAATATTCAAGTTTAATAACCTGGATATCAAAAAGAAAACAATCCAAATACCAGAAAACAAGTATGTGAAGGAAGTAAGAGTGAGGGCAGGCAGCCACTTGCAGAAAAAGCATGCTGCACACGTAATCGCAATCGGGTCCTAGGGCAATAAAAATAAACATACGTCTTTGATTTTCACTGTAAACTCCTTTTCTCGTACATGCTTCTTCACCTTTGACATCTGTGTTGACTGATCGTGTTCTTCTTTAACACCGGCCCCTGGGGGAGTGGGTACACTGGGTTCACTATATTCTGTAGCTGCACCAGGACTGTCCAGCAGTTTTGTGGTATAGAAAGAAGCCACTGTGTTGGCATCATAACTTCTTCTAGCTGAAGGCCACTTCCCTTTCAGCACTGTTTGACAAATACTGTCCAGCCGGTTGATCATCACGCGGTCCTGGAAGAGCATGCCACATCAAAGTGTGATTTTAACAACCAGGTCAGACCTTTGGAGATGAAATGGCTCAGGGCCTTGATGGATTTAACCCCGGTACAACATATGTGTATTTGGTATGTATACATATTCGCACACCCATATCATAATTCTGTAAGAATTCATGTACAAATTTCCACTGGAGTTCAAAAAAATTTATGATATAGTCTTCTGTTATTTTTATAATTACACAAGTAATACAGGTTTCTTTGTAAAAAAGGTAGTTCTAGTCTAGCCACATACAGAAAGAAGGATTGTATTAATCCAATCTGAACTTCTACCACTAAAAGCATATGTACCTAAGTGAACTTTTTTCTTTTTTTTTTTTTTTTAAGATTTTATTTATTTATCTGACAGAGAGAGACACAGCGAGAGGGAACACAAGCAGGAGGAGTGGGAGAGGGAGAAGCAGGCTTCCTGCCGAGCAGGGAGCCCGATGCGGGGCTCGATCCCAGGACCCTGGGACCATGACCTGAGCCAAAGGCAGATGCTCAACGACTGAGCCACCCAGGCGCCCCAGTGAACTTTTTTTTTCTAAGTCACCAATGACTAAGGTAAATTTCTCCAAGGAGACTCAGCTCAAAGCACCTATTTCATAACCTGTACGTGAACCTAAGCATTATCTCTCATTCTAAACATTCTAAGGTTAGGTTGAGAAACATACATATTCAAGTACACCTATTTACTTGATAATAGCAGTTGATACTTTTGAGGCTAACACCAAAATGCCGCCCTATGTTTTATGGTGACCTATTTTTCCATATGAGAAGAGTATCTACCATTAGAGCAACAAGAAAAATACTCAAAAAATGATCTGTTCCAGCAGGACATTATTCATTTACCTTTGGCCAATATGAAGCTGCTAGCATGTATCCACCTTGTAAGATGTAAGAGGACTCTGGCGTCCCATTGTTCATCTGGAAACTATCCTGGGTCTCGTCCTGGGTAGTGCTCAGTGACGCGACACTTTCTTCATCATAGGCTTTCACGTGAGGGGTACCTTCTGCTAAGAACAATTATAACTGTTTCAAAAAAAAACTGCATAAAACAAGTTTATATATAGTTTTCAAAGCTTATATAATTATTCAGATATATTTAAAAAGGAAAAGTAAGAAGTAAAAACAAATGGTAAAAAAAAAAAAAGGAAAAAATTCACCTAGAGTACAATAAAGTCTTCGTTGTTTAAAAAATTAGCACAAGAGCAAAATAAGTAGCGTTAAGGAGTTTGAGGGGAAAGGGTTAACAAAACATCCCTTTCTGCATGAAAATGTGACCCTCAGTAAACTCTGTAGGTCTGCTTCCTGGAAACAGATAAACTCCTGACTGATCAATTGCATTTGGACTGGGAGGACCATAGATACCTGATGGGTATACTAACATTCTCTAAGGAGGGGACTCCTATAATGGGGCATATCCTTGTGGTCACCCTGAAACTTATGTCCCTAGAGTTGTTACAAGAGACTCTGGCTTCTGCGGGCTATGAGGTTCCCTAGGCCAGACTGGCTCCTGTGCCCACTCAATGTTAACTCATTTCCTTGCACGTGAACTGTGGGCTGTGGCGAGCACACTCAGGAGACGGCCACCGGACACTACTCTGCTGGCGAGCTGTAGTTCCTACCCTGTACTGCTGAGTAGATAGCTGCCAAGTAGGGCCTATGATATTCTTGTTGGTCTGACTGCTTAATCTAAAAATCTTGGTGGCGGTTATAGAATATAATCCTGATTTGTTTACTGATCAACTTGTTCAGAAAAAAATGTAACGCTAAATTGAAGGTGATCACAAAGAACTAAAACTATTGTATAAAATGCCTAATTTCTGTTTGATGAACCCATTTTGCAATGCCTTGAATACTGAATAGGGAGTGTGTACTAGTAATTCTAGTTTCTTTCTCACTAGTGCTTCTCTGAGCAAATCTGTACATACAAGATTTCAGTCAACCATTTTAAACATGCTTAACTTATCTGAACCAAATGCTTTTCATTTTCACTTGAAATGTCTTAAAACAGCAAAAGCACTTTATGCATATACCTCGCTTTTGGACTTCTTCTTCTTCACTGTCACTTTCTTCTGATGAAGATGAAGAGGATGATGATGAGGAAGAGGATGAGGATGAGGATGAAGACGATGCTGAAGAACAAGAGGAGGATGAAGAAGAACTAGAGCCTGATCGAGAGTGGGAACAAGAAGAGGAGGAAGACGAGGAAGAAGATGATCTGGAAGAACAGGATGATCTCTCAGAATCAGAGTCAGACTCAGAACTAGATTCGGATCCTCTTTTGTGGACTCGCTGTTTCTTAGAAGCTGGGTTTGGAGTTAGGGGTTCTGTTCTGGCTGCAACCATGCGTCTGTCTGTTTCACCTTTTCCACCAGATTTCTGGTCTCCAGTGGCCTGTGGTAAAACACCATTCTTTGGACTTACAGGCTCAGACTTTATTAGTGTCCTGGTTTCCTCAGAAGACATAGATTCTTCTTCAGAAGACTGAGGCTCCTCTTTAAGATTTTCACTTTTAACTTTCATATCCTCTAGAATAATACCTTTAGCATCTAGGAGCCTAGGTAGAGAGGTAAGAGGAGAAGCAGAAAGTGCTACTTGATATTGCTGTAAAAGTGGGGTAGAAGTCCTCGAATGAGCCATCTTACTTTGACTGTAGCTCCTTTGAGCTGCCATAAAGGAGAGTTCAGGATCACGAAGAATGTGATAGTCTGTTCGGCTCACCCCATGTTTAGCAGCTCCAATGAGCAAGTCCCTATCATGAGGGCCACATTCCCACCAGACTGGTAAGTCTGGATTTGGATGGCAAAGCTTCAAGCGTTCAAACAATTGTGGGTGCCGGAGGGCCTGTTCCCGTACTTTCCTTAGAAGTTCAATACGGTACAAAGTCCTAGAAGCACGTTCTTCTGTGATTGGCTGGATAAAAATATTTGGATCCACCAATTCTACATTAAAATGAGAACAAAAACATTAACCTCAAAAACACTTTGTTACAGATTTAAAACAAGTAATGCAACTTCTAAACTATATCTCTACTCAGTATCATTGTGCAGCTTCCAGAATTTTTTAATATTTTTAAATGAGGAAAAACAGAAATTTTAAAAAGAAGTACCAAAATCCATACATATAATAGATAACACTGGATCTTCTGAAAGTAAGTAAAACGTAACATTTTTTTAGAAGTATGTGAATACAAGAATTTTAAAAACTCCCTATGAGCTGTCTTGACTAATCTGTGCCTTAATCAAAAAGAAAAACACTTACTTGAACTCATTTATAAATACAACTTAAAACTGTAAATCATACCCCATAAACAAAAAGAAGTCCACATATCCCTAGCTGCACCAAGGTAACTCGGTGCATTACAGTGAACTCACAGGAACACCAAAGGCTTCCTTAAAATTTGAGGGAAATGCAGGAACATTGTCAAATGCTATGTGAAGTAATGGCTTGAGCTGGTTCAGTTTCAACGTTAGACCTTGCGATCTTCCTTTCAATGGGGTTATATCTTTGGGCAGAGATACTGGCAGTTTAGAAGTATTCAAAAAAAGATAAGGGTTTGTTGAAATAATGCAGGGGTCACTTAAAGGAGCTCGTACAATTTGAGCATCAAAACAATGAGAGTATTGGGTTATAACCTATAGCATAAAATAAATATCTGAGTCCATTCTGATATGAATAAATAATTGATCAGCAGATGAAAGCGAAGCAACAATCCTTGCTTGCAGCAGAATTCCACAGTAAAAACTGTTACACACAAGGACCTACTCAGGATACTTAAGTCAATGGATGAAAGTCTGAGAAGAAACAGGACTTGTGGGGTCTCAAAGTATCTCAAGATTTCTTTTAACTCCAGGGTAAAAGATAGCAGTTTTACATTGGAGAAACAGCACAAACTATCATAACCAGGCAATCAAGGGCAACACCATCAGTGTTGGACATTCTGACATTCTGAACCCATGGTACTTTCTGAGAAGGACACACCATTTCTGTGGTACTCTTAATAAAAATGCGCAACCTCAATGCAACCATATGAAAATTTAAGACAAATCCAAATTGAGGGATTTGTGGCAAAATAACTAATCAATATATTTCTAACGTATCAGGGTCATGAAAGATGCGAAAAACTGAGGGTCTCTTACAGACTATAGGAAGCTAAGGGGAAAGACCAACCAAATAGAATGTAGGATCCTGGAACAAAAAAGGACGTCAGTGGACAAACTGGTAAGATCTAAGTATTCAGTTTAGTTAATGGCACTGTACTAATGTTAATTTCCTGGTCTGATGTCAGATTTTATAGTAGGGGAAGCAAAGTGAGACATACATTGAAACTTCTATAGGTTTTTGCAACTTTTCTTAAAGTCTAAAAGTAGTTCAAAATAAAAAGTTAAAAAAAAAAAAGAAGAAATGGAACAGGAAACAAGAGTGGGAGTATCCATTCTACCTCCAAGGTTTGAGAGTTGTACAGTGCCTGACAGGTATACACATCACATTGGTAAGTAAGTGTGGCTATTTAAGAAAGAAAAGTAGTATTTTTGCTTTCAATTTATATTATGCTTTCAAACAATTACTAGACTGTTGGACATAATACTCATTAAGTTGTTTGGATCTAATTATTCACTAAACAGAACTTTTGGCCTCAGGTGCTATGAAAAATTAGACAGTAAGGGCTCTGTGACCTGAGGAAGTTTGGAAAACTGATCTAAGTAAAACTTCACTCCCATTTCCAACAAGAAAACACTACCTTTTCAATCACTATTTAGTAATTAACCCTTTCCTTTTTGTTTTAAAACTGGAGTCCAAAGTGGTTTTTATTCACCGCGTTTTACATTGCTGATGGGAATTAAGAAAATAAAAAAAGAAATGAGGGCCTCTTGTTAAACATCAGTAACAGAAGACGCAATACTTTGCTTTATCTGTCTTTTTAAACCATTGCTAGTCTTACAAAAGACATTTAAGTAGACTAAAATCTACTCTGAATCATCTGGTATTCGGGTAATCAAGTGATGGGCTACTCTATTCAGGGGACTGACAACAGATCTGTTAGGACATAAAACTAAAACAAGCAAACAAACTCACATGGAATTTATGTCCTTTTATTAGCCACTTATATTTTTACTATGAAACAGGAGTAGGAAGGCACTGGGTCTAGTAGTCAGAAATCATATTCAACGAAGAATGGGGACAGTGGCTAATAACAGCATTATCGAGAGGGGTTGCTGGCAGGATGAGCTATTTCTCTGGGCCTCGAAGACAATGAAATTCAGCCCAGAACAGGTCCTTGGCTGAGCACCAGCACGTCTGATTAATTGTTCTTCTTCTTTTTCTTTTTTTTTGAAGGCTTTGGGTGATTTTTTTTTTTCCTACTAAAACTCTTTAAAATATCCTTTGAGCGGAGGCCTCATTCCTCAAAAGATTATTCATGTAAATAAGCCCTCTAACACAGTTCCTATCAGATGGACTAAATACACAGGTTAGTTCTGTTCATAAGCTACCACGTATCTCCTACCTCCCCCAATCATCAGTCTAATACTGAATAACCACTGGCCATTCCTTGAAACTCATGGTGTAACTTTCTTCTTTTTAGATCTCATTTAATAGCAGGATTAACAAACAGGGAGATCTTTGAACATAGTTTATTTACAATTCTGAAAAATTACTGATGTGCTGAATTAGACAGTATTGAAACAAACAAGTTGGAAATTTCTGAATTTTAGTGCTTTTTGCTTCTTCGACTCAAACCAGCAAAGACAGAAATTTTATACCTACCTTCTTTGGAAGGAAGACGACAAACCCTCCGACACATAGACATGAATGCGTACAAATACTTCTCCAAGCTATCATCAGTTTTCTTATGCAGCCTAGCCATAGCTCTAAATTTTGTCCAATCAAATTGGCCTCTATCAGGGTCAAATACCACTCCAAATGTAGACACCACTCTATAAAAGTCAGCTTCTTCTCTTCTTGTCCATCTATTTAGAGTCAGATTAAAGAAAAAGTCACACTGGTCACTAAAATAAATATTTATTAATGCTGAATATAATGACTATAATAAAATTCAAAACATTTCAAGTACCCAACACTTTAAAGGATTAAGTGCAGGATACTGCCTTGCAAATACATTTAAAAATGCTAGTTGAGGGGTGCCTGGGTGGCTCAGTCCAAGCGTACGACTCTTGGTTTAGGCTCTGGTCCTGATCTCGTGGTTTGTGGGATTGAGCCCCGTGTTGGGCTCTGCGCTCAGCAGGAGTCTGCTTGGGTATTCTCTCCCTCTGCCCCTTCCCCCACTCATGCGCTCATACACTCTCTCTCTGTCTCAAATAAATAAATGAGTCTTTAAAAAAATGTTAGCTGACTCATCTATCCAACCACGCTTTTCCTTCAGATAATAATAGTTTATTGCACATCTACTCTGTAAGAAAATATGCAGGGGATACAGATTACGTAAGACACGATGACCCTACCTTTAGGGAAAAGACAAAACATTTCAAACCTATTTCTGGTATAAGGCAGTATGTTACAGTTGTATGTGTTATAGAAACCTAGAATTTTAGGAGAGCACAGGAGACGGGAGGACCATTTCAGACCTGAGTGATCAAGAAAGCATCACAGAAGTAAGTGGTATTTAAGATGGAACAAGGCGGAGATCAGCCTAGGAATTCTAGGAAGAGGGCACAGTATAAGCAAAGTAGGAAGTAGTCTACATTTTGGGGGTATGATGAGCATTCCAGATTGACAAGGATATGGCTCATATTGGGGACAGAAGGACATAGGGTTGGGGTCAGATTATGAAACATTCCATATGTTTGGCTAAAAATAGTCTCTGTTCAGTTGAAAGCTCCTAAAGATACTTTAAGAGGGTAATATTATCCTCACACACCACAGATCTCCAAACACAGTCTAATTTATGGACACTTTTTCCTGGTTAAGTTATGGAATTGTGTGAACAAGAAAGAATGTACAAGACTTTTGAAAAACATCAACAGGCCATTTCTATCATAGTGCTACCTTAAGAAGATTAATGTAATACTGATATAAAAATATCCTGGGAAACCAATCAAATCATAAGGACCTTGCATCTGGGCGCCTGGGTGGCTCAGTCGTTAAGCGTCTGCCTTTGGCTCAGGTCATGATCCCAGGGTCCTGGGATCAAGTCCCACATCGGGCTCCCTGCTCGGCAGGAAGCCTGCTTCTCGCTCTCCCACTCCCCCTGCTTGTGTTCCTGCTCTCGCTATCTCTCTGTCAAATAAATAAATAAAATCTTTAAAAAAAAAAAAAAAAAAAAGAACCTTGCAGCTGGGGGAAGAAAGTAGGGATAGTATACAAAGGATGGATGAAAAGATTGCACAGGACACACAGAAATGTGACAGTGTCTACCCTCAAAGAATTGACAACTTAGAAAGACAAGACCTAGAAAGGCAAAGATCAATGTTCTTAATGACATATTTGTGTGACAATGTGTAGTTTATTTCGGTAAATGCTATCTGAGTGCAGGAAACAGAATAAAGTGAGCTGGACTGGTTGAGAAAAAAATTATTAGAAGAGATAGGATAGGCATTGAGCTCTGAAGGAGGGGCTAGGTTTGGACTAAAGAGTGGGAAGAAGGGTGTCCCAGGTGATTGGAACAATATAAGCTAGGTATTGAGTCAAGAATACATAGGACATTATGGCTGAGGAAAGAGTACTGGACAGAATTAGAAATCCATGCTGAAACTGAAAAGACTCTTGAACCGAGGCTTAAGAACAAACTTTATACCTATAGTAAATAAGGAGCCATGGACTATCATGATAAAGCTAGACTTTTAGGAAGATTAATCCAGATCTGACCAAGGGAAAATGCATATGGGAGGTTAAAGATGGCCATGAGTTCCCGTCTTCCCACGGAGAGGCATAATCTATTTCCCTCTCCCTTTAATCTTGGTTGGCCCTGTGACTTTTTTTGACCCACAGAAGAATGTGGCAGAAGTGACACTTTGTAACCCTGAGGCTGGGCCTTAAGAAATCGCAGCTTCTGCCTTTGCCACTGGAAATGCTTCCTCATTCAAGTTCCCAGTGCCAACTGCCAGCCATGTGGGTGAGGCTACTTTCTCCCTCCGGCCATCTCAGCACTCCTGCCAACACCATGGGGAGCAGAAGAACCACCTGGTCAACTCATAGAACCATGAGAAATAAAAAACTGATGTTTAAGTCACCACATTTTGGGGTGGTGATTATTATGCAATTATAGATAACTGAAACAGTGTATTTGCTGAGGTAGTAGTATCTGAAGAAGATTATGTCTGGGTCATCTAAACATCTTAAGTTTCAGACTAACTAAATTCTGGTTACAATGACTGTGCTGCAAATAATACAAAAGAACAATGATATATTTTCCAGAGAACATCCAAGGACCCAGGCTTAACATGGAGGCCAGGTTATTGCGGAACATTACTATTCTTTTCAACATACTCTATCCTTTTTAAGAAGTTAAAGCTTTTGGAAGGAGAGAAGCATGCCTGTCTTCTTAACAAGTTCTCTTGCAAAAAGGTCTACCATTTTGTCCCCCTTTGGTATCAGTAGTTCCAAGGGTTCATCCTCTGTATAAACATAAATGGACTTGCCTTCCATACATTCTTATATTTCATTAATGTCATAATGTAAAAATAAGGTAGAATGGACTTTATTTCATGTACTTTAAATGTATGCTTTATTAATAATTAACTAATTATTTAATTTATTAATAATTCTTGAGTTTGTTTTGCAACTTCATTTTTTTAGTAACTCACTGTTTATAAGCATGACAAAATAATGATTAAATATGAAGCATGGCTAGGAACTATAAAATGCAATAATCTTTGACCATATTTGTATACATGTGCACAAGTATATATATGCATATGTGTGCATGCATAAAACACTTTGCTTTGACCAACTTCTCTACCTATACATGTTTTTCACAAAGTGAGATAATCACACTCTAACAGCCTTCTGAATGAATAACTACATTTATACAATTATACTAATATTAAAAATTTAGTGCTATTGTCTTACCTCTGCTGTCTTTCTATCTTGGCTGCCATTTTAGGATTGAGAGTGGCTTCTTCGTAAAGAGGCTGCATTACACTGGCAGGCACTGAGAAAGTAGGCTGTATCTGCTGGATTTGTCTGTTTTTATTAGTACGCTGATATGCAGTGATAAGACGCCTCAAACGTGTAGTTAAAGCTGATTGAGTTGGCCAATAAATTTTATCACCTTCCATCAGTTGACCATCTATATTTAAAGAAATTCATGTCAATAATAAAAAAAACCAACTGAAAACCGGAAACAACCCCGCCCCCCAAAACTAAACAGATACGAAACTCATAAAAACAGCAAAATTTCCTTACTTTTTAAAATCTTTTTCTTTCAGTCTTTTTTCTTTCAATCTGATTATGTGGAAAAAAACCCCACACAGGCCAAACCTCTCACTATAAAGAAGTTTTCTTTTTACTACAGCTCTAAAAACATTACAACAAACTTAAAGACAGCTCAAAGTAAGTAGGTCACAGTGGAATAAAGAACCACAACAGTATCTACTGAGCATCCCTTGCACAGAAAATACAACTCTTGCATTTCCAGGTCTAATACATTTTATTGGCTAGCTAATACTCAAATGCCTTAAGCTTAAATGAATTAAAAGTCAAACTGAAATCCCTGAGAAGTTGAATACTGTAAACTCTTTTTAATTAAAGCCTTCTTCTATATTAAATCTGTCTCAATTTATGTGAGAATCAAAACATTTTACAGGTCATAAGTGAGGAACATATATTATAAAAAATTCCCTATGACAATGCTATCACTTTTAAGCTTTTATTCACCTAATAAAATGCAGGATCTAGCTATTTTCAGGGTATAATCTTATAATTACATATACCATAATTAAGCGGTAATCATTCACACTAAGCAAATACTACTCCTTCCTTCCTAGTCAAACTATGAAAGGACGAGGCCCTATTCCACTTGGATGCCAGCTGGGAGTGAGTGGTACTCTGGTGACAGCATGTTTCTATCTTGATAATCAGAAGGAAGTAGAAGCAAGACCCTGCAAAGAAACGCTTTGCAAAAAAGGGTTGTGAGAAAGGATGGTTCCTAGTATGGTTCCTAATATGGAACTAATAAGCTGTTGAACGGATTACTGAATCAACACTTTAATGATGAAATCTCCTACATAAGTTTAATATCAAGCCATATAAAATCATCAAAGCTTTGATTCCATAAAAGCTCAGTGAGTCACGGCATAAAGATTTGCAACTAAAAATATTGTTAAATTCCCAATCAACTAGTATGTCCCATAATGATTACGATGGTCTTCAATAAAAATTTCATACACATCTAAAACATCATAGAAGTTTAACAGTTTATTGATTTCATGGTATCATGATAATGTGAATTTCCACTAAAACTAAGTAAAAAGAGAGAAATGCAATTTACCTCCATCTGCTATAACAAGATCTCCTGGTGAAGAAACATCATCCTTTTAAAAGAAAACGGAAATTTGTCATAGATTGATTGACTCAAGACACATTAAAGATGAAAAGGGAATCAAACTTTTTTAAGATTTTATTTATTTATTTGACAGAGAGAGAGACAGCGAGAGAAGGAACACAACCAAGGGGAGTTGGAAAGGGAGAAGCAGGCTTCCTGCTGAGCAGGGAGCCCAACGCAGGGCTCGATCCCAAGACCCTGGGATCATGACCTGAGCCGAAGGCAGACACTGAATGACTGAGGCACTCAGGTGCCCCGGGAATCAAACTCCTTAATAGTAATAGAGAACTTTTTGCAACAGAATTTTTAATTTTTAATGAGCAAAAATAAAAATTTTAATATCTTGTTCTCAATCTCCACCCTTTTACACTTCTCTATTGCCTTGTACACTTTAGTCCAGTTATTTTCCACTAAAATTTTCCCCTTCCATGATCACGCTTAGGCCAAGTGTTTTTCCTCCACCCTTCCTATAATTGCAAATATACCCTAGGTTTTATCAATAACAGGTTTTTTGTTGTTGTTGTTCTGTATACTAACTCATAATTTATTCATTCTCATATATGATTATTAGACAACCTGCAAATCTTTCCTCTTTCAACCTTGAACAGTTTGCTTGTGCTGTATATCTAGTTTTTTTTTTTTTTGAAGATTTTATTTATTTATTTGAGAAAGAGAGAGAGCACATGAGAAGGGGGAGGGTCAGAGGGAGAGGCAGACTCCCCGCTGAGCAGGGAGCCCGATGCGGGACTCGATCCCGGGATTCTAGGATCGTGACCTGAGCCGAAGGCAGTCGCCCAACCAACTGAGCCACCCAGGCGCCCTGTATATCTAGTTTTTATCTGTCAACAGAGCATCTCCAATCAGGTATTCCAACATTACTGTAAATATATTCATAACTTTGGTGGTTTTATTCCAATGACTACTATTTTCTGTTGTTGTTTTAGAAAAGCCTGAAGTTAGAATTATCATCATTTCTTTGTAAATGGGTCTTTTACTCTGGTTGCTTTTAACATCTGCTCTTTGGAATATCTGCAATTTCGCCAGGATGTTTTGTTGGAGTGGATTTAATTGTGTCTACCCTGTCAAGATTCATTCTGTTTCTCGAATCTGAAGATTCATGTCTTTCATTAAGTCTGAAAAACGTCTCAGATGATCTCTTAGAACAGATCTTCTCCCTTCATCTCTCTGGTCGCTCCCTCTGGAATACCTATTAGATATATGTCAGACATTATTATGCTATCCTCTTCAAGTCTAAAGAGTTTTTCATATTGATTTACTGCCTCTCAGCCCTAAATTCATTGCCTCTTATACCTTTAATTGGCTCTAAGAAAATGGATCTGGGCTCTTTAAATATTTTTTGCCAGCCAGTACGAGGTTAAGCTTTCTCAGTTGTGGCAGCCAGAGAGACACTGTAGGAGGAGAAGGGTTTTACTTCTCTGGTTTGGATGAACTCCTCCCAGGCTCAGCTCCCACAGCACAAGCAGCTTCCCCAGGGCCCACCTCTGCAGTTCAAGCAGCTTCTTTGCGTGCCTACTGGCCAGCAGCTTCCCCTAGCAGCCTCGGCCTCAGGTGGTTTTGCAGTAGAGCGCCTCCAGTGAGACACTTCCCCAGGAAAAGCTCCCTTGGCAACCCTGGAGGGTGGATTTCCAGCAAGTTGTGCCAGTGGGCCATCACAGCAACTGTTCTGCCATCCAATGAGGTGTGGCCATGCTCTCTCAAAAAAATCAGCATCTCAGCCCTGCCAGGGACGGGGCTCTTCCTTGGCTGCACTGTGTCAGCCCTAAGCATAGTAGCTAGTCCTCACTACTTCAGTCCCCCTATTATAGTCAATATTTCTTCACGTTAAACTTTTCCTATTCAACAGACTATGTGGTTTCTCTCTCCTGATTGGGCTAAACTGTGCCGTCATGCTACGTTATGGATCCTTTCCTCAAATCTGTTTTCTAAATCATTTCTTCTCTCAAGATCTGTGTCTAATCTGCCTCTTCAGCACAATGTTTAACCTATTTGTGGAGTTTTAATTTTCAGTGACTGTATTTTCCACTTCTAATGTTATACAAAATTGTTTTTACATACATCCCTTGTCTTTTAAAATCATAGATCTTTTTTTCTTTCTTTTGTTCTTGGATCTTTCTTTAATGTATTTAACCATTTATAAAATTACTTATTTCCTATTTTAATAGATCTCCATCAGAAGTTCTTAGAGGTCTAATCTTGTTCTTTGTTGTATTTGCTAACATTCACTCATGGTAAATTATTCCTCACATACTTAAAATTTTTGGATTTTGACCTCATTTCATGGAGGGCTTTTATCTTCAGGACTCAAGTACAGTCTACATTGAAGCTGTTTCTGCCACAATTCTTCTTCTTTTTGTTTCTACTAGGTACCTCAGGGTTATTGCCAGCCTGGGACCCTTTCTATGTTACATTTTTGGTTCGAGAGTTCCTGGACCATGCAGATGATGTAAAAGAATCAAACTGTAAGCTCGAGAGTAAGCATGCCTATGGCTATGAATTCTCAGGGGAAACAATTTTTTCCCTACCCAGTACCTACGTGGAGATAAATTTCCTCGTTGTTGCCCTGTGCTGTTTGTCAGAGTACTGCTCTCTGAGGGTTCTCATTCTATGCAGGATCTCCATTCTCACCGCCACACACTGGCCTGAACCCTCTCTAGTCCTCATAAAGGCATCAATATCCAAGCCCTGTGGCCACCAAGACCAGCACACCTTACCTGACAGTTACAGCAGTGTCTAGTCCTTTCCCATGCCCTCATCCCTTTTCACATCCTTTCCCCACTCCATGGAGTGTTTTCACCTAACTCTGCTTCTTCCTTTTAACTTTCTATAAACAGAACACTTAGAATTAACTATGCTTTAGCGGTTCGGAATTCCTCTAGGCTCTACCCTCTATTTTCAAACCCTTTATGTAGGTCTAGTTTCTATCTGTTGCTGTGTACTTTCAGTGTCTACTTTTCACTCTGCTTTGGGGTTTTGTCCCTGACACCGTGTTTCCTAGTTCCTAGCAGTGCAGCATGTGGGCAAGCTCCATTTCATCCACATGTCCACCCCGGCCTCCAGCGTGTCTAGAGGGAGGTCAGGCATATTCTGAAGGACTATTTGTGATGACTGTCGACCTAAGTGGATCACTAACTTCGCTCATCTTCTGAAGAACAGAATTATGTATAAGGAAAACATATGAAAGAAAAACACACAAAAGAAAATGCAAACAAAAGAAACCATGGAAAAACCAGGAATGAGGATTTTAAAACAGGATCCAAAGCATACCTCTATATCATCTTTAAAGATAGCTGGGGCAGGTTTGTATTCTGGATCTTCCACATCCCTGTTAAAATACCAACAGATGCTACAATTATTGTACTGGACTTAAAATTTCTCCTGAAAGGACAAATGGAGTCTTGTTGGAAGGACTTTTTAGCATGTTTCAGACTGAAATCTCTGTTCGTTAGCCTGATGACCCCAAGTCACAGAGTGAAGCCAGTTATACGGCAAGTCAGAAGAAAGCTACTCTAATTGACTCTTACTACCAAGTTTGCTTTTAAATGTGGTAATATTAGCCTTAATACAGTCCCCTACTTTTCTCTTTTGGTAAGAAAACAAAGATAGTAAAGACCTTATAACAGTTACAATGAACAAACATCCTATTTCTCTTCAATTGTAATATTCTTTGTCTTCTTCCCTCTATGCCCTTAGAATTGTATGGCTTTAATGGCCATGACCATTAAGAATGGAAAAATGAAGGACTCACCACAAGGATGGCTTTGGGGCAGGTGGAGTCTCTTCCTTGAGCACACCACTGGATAAACACTAACTTATTAGAGTTTCATTAACTCTTAGATTGTAAACTCCAATTCTCTTACTACTACATTATTTAAAGATAAACATCACCGGCAGGACATGCTGCTGTTGATAGAGATATATGGAGAAATCAAGCCTCTGAAGTGCACATACCCATCCATATAATCATTTGCCCTCTGTTCTGCAGCGACTGCTTTCTCATCAGGTTTTCCCACTCTTTCCAAGAAGCATAATGCTGGGTCTGCTCGGATAGTGTTATATTTTTCATAACCTGGAGGGATCACCAATTATGAAAGTAAAAAGGATAAAAAGAAAAAAGATGTATGAATATAAGCATTGCTCATATTTACAGCAGATGTTGTTCCTGGACTAAAGGGACCATATATTAAAATAATACAGGGTAAAGTAGGTTTTCTAGAAATTGTCACAAATACTACATGGTCCAGCATAGGTATATTTAAAAGTTTAGATTAAATTTATCAGTTAAAATGAAAAATAGGAAAACTGATCATACATAACACACTTTATATAAGAACTCTTCCTGAGGGGAAGTTAGTGTGACTTCTGTCCAGGAGGGGCAGGTCATGTATGCCACCCCTTTCATGAAAAAGTGTAGGGACTGACAGACATAATTTGGTAATTCGTGCTTTACATGATATGTATAATAACATCAGTGTTACTGGAATGAAGCTATAGGCGGAAATCGTTAAACTGAGAACTAGTTGAATTACATTATACACAGAAGATGACTCTACCTACCTTCCTTCTCACTTACCATGTTTAAAAACTCCAATAAGAAGTGACTTATCAGCATCAAAATCCCACCATTCAGCAGGAACTTCTGAGTGGTCTGGTTCTGGGACCCAAACATCAATGTCACTTAAAAAAAAAAAATCACGACATGGCACTATGAATTATTACAAACAAGTCAAAGAAGAGGCAAACTTTACCTAGCTTGTAAAACGCATTATGGTTTTTAAGAAAAAGACATTATGATTTTATTTCATTGATTTTTTTTTTTTATTTTCCACAATTACCACCAGTTAAAATTACAAAATTGTACATGATCAACAAAGTTACTAAAAAATGAATTAATATCCTGGGGCGCCTGGGTGGCTCAGTTGGTTAGGCGACTGCCTTCGGCTCAGGTCATGATCCTGGAGTCCCGGGATCGGGTCCCGCATCGGGCTCCCTGCTCGGCGGGGAGCCTGCTTCTCCCTCTGACCCTCCCCCCTCTCATGTGCTCTCTCTCTCTCATTCTCTCTGTCTCAAATAAATAAATAAAAATCTTTAAAAAAAAAAAAAAAGAATTAATATCCTTAAGCTCAACTGAAGACATTTTTCAACAGGTTTACTTTACTCTTAAGGAATCATATTCTTTCCACTGATTTCCTTTAGATATATAAACAGCATTTTATGGGAGAGTAGAATCTTATGTCAGCAAACAACTTGACAAAAATCAGCTGGTTCAAATATTTCATTTTGTGTATGAGGAGAATGGGGCACTAGAAGGGCAAATTAATTGCTTTAGGCTGCAAAACAAGGCATATCTTTTCTAGACTGCTACTGGTAAGAAAATGCCACTGACAAATTAAGCATTGCTTACAAGCAAAAGAAAATGGCAAGTTTTGATTCATAATTTGACTAAAACACTCAAAGTGCTATTTTTATGCTGTATATAAATATCATGCCTAAAAATGACAATATGATAAACTACTAAAACTGTAATAAATCCATGATGCTTTGGTAATTTGGCTGTTTTCATGAGTATGAAACAACTACTAAAGAGTACTTACAATTCTGCAAACATAACTTCCTTTGCTATCATTTGAAATTATTATTTTCCCAGAAACCTTTTATAAGTAACACATACAACACCACTAAAAATGAAAATATGCCATGTACAGGACTGAAATGTTTACTTTTTTACAAAGTGATTCAAGCCATCATTTCCCTTAGCCTAGCATATAGCTAACATCTGATAATAATTAGCAAATGAATACCATTAATTTTCACACACACACAAACACACACACACACATATCATTCTTATATTTTATTCAACAAAGAAGGTAGAGGGGCGCCTGGGTGGCTCAGTCAGTTAAGCATTTGACTCTTGATTTTTGGCTCAGGTCATGATCTCAAGGCGGTGGGATTAAATCCCATGTGGGGCTCTGCGCTCAATGGGGAGTCTGCTTGTCTCCTCCCTCTGCCCCTTCCCCCCTCAAACAAATAATACATCTTTCTTTTTTTTTTTTTTTTTTAAAGATTTTATCTATTTATTTGAGAGGGAAAGAGAGAACAGGCAGGGGGAGGGGCAGAGGGAGAGAGATAAGCAGACTCCCTGCTGAGCAGGGATCCTAAGGAGGGGCTGGTTCCCAGGACCCTAAGATCATGACCCAGGCCAATGGCAGATGCTTAACCAAGCTACCTAGTCGCCCTACTAAACAGATCTTTAAAGAAAAGGGTAGAGATTGTATAGGATAAATTACCTCGGGAAATCAAATTTTCTAGTTGAGAATTTCTCTATTTGATATTTGTGAATTATTAATTTTCAAAGAATGAGAGATAATAAAACACAACAAAAATTAAGTAGAATTTCATCTCCTTGTCTTAGCACAAAAATTTCATAAGTTAATAAACAAAGGCCTATTGTTTTGAAAAAATGGGAAGTTTCCAACTTACAATTAAGTTGTGTAGCGGAAGTTCATTTGTAAGTTCACTGTCTGGGAACTCAAAATAACTTTTCATATAGAAATAAACTGATAAATGGTCAATATGTTCCTGAGCTAGTCCACAAGAATGCAATACTTAGCTACTAATATAGTAGAAATAAAGGACAATGGCAATGAAAACAAAAGACTTACAAGTCTTGTAAATAAATAAAACACGAAATATAGATAGGAAATTACTTTTTATTTTTCATGTTTTGCCAGTAGAAAAAAGTTTTTAACCCAAGGAATATGGAGAAATGGATGGAGACGTTTCTCTAGATTCTTAAAGAAATTTTTCTGCACTTAAACGAACATCTTATTACCTCTAATTTTTCTTAAAAACAAAAGGGTTACAATCACAGTATTTTCTAGCTTACTGTAGGAAAATACAGAAAGAGTGATTTTCCTGTGATACAATGAAAGCTGAAAAATTGATGAGGAAAAATACAGTTAAAGAAGATATTTATTTTTGATTGATTTTCTGACCAAGACTAAAGAAAGCGTTAAGAACCAAAAGAGGAAGGCAAGAGGAAAGTGGGTCAGGTAGTTCCCCTCACCAACCATCAGGTGGCACTCTAAGCTCAACACACTGGGATGACCATCAGAAGTGGAAAAATTTCCTGCTTGTAAAGAGCATATACCTACCCAGAGTTCCAGTGTAAGTGCCAGATGCATGTTAAGTGTTTGTTAACTGCTAGGGAAAGGCATACAACAATGTGCATGTGCTCCTGTTGTTGATTTCTGTTTTTAAAGATTCAGTTCATGTTCTGTCTTTTGCATAAAGCCACCTTTAACTTCCCCAGGCTAGATCATTCATGCAAAATGTATTTAAACAGCACTCACTACGTGCCACTAATAGAAATACTAAGGCAGACATTCACTGCTCTTGTGAAGAGGTACCTGCAATACTGCATGGTGCGCGCTGTGACAGTGGACCTTGGATATGTGCCTGACCCGGACTTAAAAGAGGCCAGGAAAGGCTGAGCTGATGCCAGCTGAGTACTGAGATGGGGGAGAATGGAGGCAAGAGGGAAAGGCGATGTTCCAGCAAGACTGCAAAGGCCTGGATATAGTATAGAAACAAAAACTGACACCGCAGAAAAGATGACAGCATCCAAGAAAAGGAGGTGACAAGGAGAGAGCACCTATGAGAAGACATTTAAGAGACAGGCTGGAGACGAGCTGCAAGGCAGTGAGCACAAAGCTAAAAAGAACCTCTACAGGCGAATGCTATTACAGAAGCATTTTAAGAAGAAGGAAGTGGTCAATAAACGTAAAGTAGGACAGGGACACCTGGGTGGCTCAGTTGGTTGTGCATCTGACTGTTGGTTCTGGCTTGGGTTGTGGGATTGAGCCCCATGTTGGGCTCCATGCTCAGGGGGGAGTCTGCTTGAGAGTCTCTCCCTCTGCCCCTCCCCATCACTCTCAAATAAATAAATACATCTTTTAAAAAAAAAAAAGGTAAAGTAAGACAAACACTATGATATATCCATGGGTTTAGCAGCAAGCATATTGGTGAGGATTTCTTGGAGAAGGTGGTGGAGTGAGAGGCAGAAGCTGAACTGTGGTGGGCAGCACATCGTAAATGGGAGAGGAGGAAAAGGAGACACAGATACAGAAGTCTGGCTGTGAAATCAAGGAGAGTAATCATATGATAGTGTGAGGAGATACTGGATCCAAAAGTGTTGTGTGTATTTGTGTGTCTGTGTCTATGCTAAAGGAAATGTGAACATGTGAAAGTCCAAATGAGAAGCCAAAGAGGGGAAGATTAAAGAAAGGGGAAAATGTAGGGATAATTCACAGAATGTAGTTTCTGGGAAATCACAAGTGGATAGGATCCCGTCAGGCCAAGGGAAAAGAGGAGTCACTTAGTCAACAAATATTTATTGGGTGTTACTATGTCCCAGACTCTAGGGGCTGTGAAAAGAAAGATCAATAAAACAGCATATTTAATCTTCAAGCTTAAACTGTAATGGGAAGACAAAGACATACAAATAAATATAACTTTAATAGGCATCATGAATAGATAAAATAAGGTCAAGCAGTAGTGAGTTACTGGTAGGCTGCTTTAGCTAGGGAGGCCAGGGAAGGCCTCTGGGAGGAGGTAAAACTTGAACTGAGATCTGAATAACTTGAAGAGACAGTTCTGTGGAAGATGAGGTGCAGGAGTGTACCAGGAGGTAGAGCACAGAATGAGCTTGATACTCTGGAGGGACAGAAACACCAGTGTGGCTGCAGCATCGTGGCTGAGGGACAGAATGAAGGAAGAGGTCACAAGTTATGTAGGGCCATAGGGAGTATGGATTTTATTCTAAGAGAAATGAGAAAAATCTGGAAGGTTTGAAGGAGAGGAGCGCCATGGCCTGAGTTTTGCTTCAGAAAGATCACTCTGGCTGCTGTGTGAAGGTCAGCCTGTAGAGAGGAGGCAGAGACCCAATTAGGAGGCCACTGCAAAAGTCTAAACGTGGCATAATGGTGGCTTGCACTAGAGATTTAGCAGAGGATGTGGTGAAAACTGCTCAGATTTGGGCGTACTCTATACTTTGTGGAGCTCACAGGTCCTTCTGAGGGATTTAAGGAAGAGAGGAATCAAGAATGGCACCTGAGCAACTGGGTGGTCCACCATTTAGCAGGATGGAGAAGGCCTGTGTGTGGGAAGGTAGGAGGAAAAGGGTTGGAGGCAGAAGATTTGGAGAGCCAGGGAAACTTTAAGATGTCAATTAGACTGTCAAGTGGGAATATTAGGAGGCAGCTCTCTCAGATTATAGCTCTGGGGTGAACAGGTCAGTTTGAGAGTCATCTGTTTCTTGATCAGATTTGATACCAAAGGAGAGTATAGCCAAGAAAGAGAGCTGAGGGCAGAGCTCCTGGACAATCCAATGTAAGAGCTAGGAAAATGAAGAGGAAAGACCAGGGAGGAAAAAGGGCAACAGGTGGGTAAACTTGCATAATGCCTACAGAAGACAGAACTTCAAAAAAGAAAAAAAGGTAAAAAAAAGAACATAGCATTTCAAGAAGGGAGATGTAGAATAAGGAGCTAAGAGACCAGGGCATCGGATGGATCATATATGGACATAAAAGTCAGTCCACTGGAATAAGAGGGAAGAGAAAAGAATGAGCACAGAAAGGTTAAGTTTTAGATTTGGTGGTAGGAAGCTTACTCCTACTGCTTTTATTATTTTTATTATAGCTTTTATTAGTGACAGAGCCAAAGACTGAGACTAATGGAGGAAAGGCAACAAATTGGCAAGGGTGAATTCTCTACATTTGGTGGAATTTTCTTCTTGTGAACTTCACTGAATAAGGAGCCACTTAATTATAATTTTCTGGTCCTGTAACTTTTGCCTCATCATGTTACTGAAAGTATCAACAGGTTATTTAATTTACCTTGCATCAACTCCATCAAATACTTTCTGACACTCGTTTCCAATGACTTCTTGCTTTAGATAATACAGCATTCTTACACGAAGCAAAACCCTAAAAATGAGGGAAAAGGATTAAAAAGACACAAAGATATTAATCATTAAAGAAAATTCATCCATGAGGTTAAAATTGGAAAAGAATTTATATACAGAATTTTTATAATTAAATAATAATTACTTCTGATTAAATAAGTCTCATTACTACCATATATAGTAAAATAGGTTTCTCCAAAATCTTCACAATCATCATAATTTAATATCCAAGTAAGATATAATGAGATCATTTGGAGGCCAGTTTTATTTCTCTCTCTGTTGATGAAAACAGTGACACAAGAGGTACCATGATTTGCTGAAGGATACCCTGTAAGATTAAGATTAGGATTGGTCCTAGACCACACTGTCTCTGTACTCAAAATCAGCATGCTTTAAGATTTTTAATAAATTCAGAAATATAAACTTTTAACGAGTTGTGTTAAAAATACCCTACTACCTACTTATTACAGTGGTGTTTTATATGTTTTTTGTATCCTTCATCTTGAAGTAGCTGCTCAGGATTATATTTTCGAAGCCATTCTGCTTTCTGTATATCAAATGAGCTTGTTTGAGTCTTTACTTTCTTCCCTTTCCGACCCCTGGGTACAGGGGCTGATAGGCCTGTTAAAATGAGAAGGACACATGAAATCAGGGATAATTTGTATAAAGTTTTGCAATTTGAAACATTTTTTTTCAATACAAGAAATTTCTGGAGACTTTCAGAGGTCTGTGCAGGCTATATAGAGATCTTTAAAATATTACCGGTAACAACACCGATACCAATCGCAAGGTAAGTCAACGTGATGATTGTATACACATATTAACAGCTCCCCCCTGCAAGTACCCAACAATTCTGTACCTGAAATTAATCACTCTGACTTACTTTTTGTTCCAAAACACATTATTTTTTTCCAAATGTAAAAACCAAAATCTCAGACCTGTCCCTCTGCTTTACTTTTAGCTTCCCTAGTTATAAAATAGTAAGTTTTGGTCTCTTGATTTTCAAAACTGGATTAGGTTTAGTCATTGTGGGTTCTTATTTAAGAGAGCTAAATTCATTTTATTTCTTTGACACCTTTGTGAAATATTTTTTTTTTCCTGTAAGATTTTAAATAATCTCTACACCCAGTGTGGGGCTTGAACTTACAACCCCAAGATCAAGAGTTGCATGCTCCACTGACTGAGCCAGCCGGGTGCCCCTGAAATATTTATTTTTTTAAAGATTTATTTGAAAGAGAGAAAACAAGTGCAAGTGGGGAGAGAGGCACAGGGAGAGAACCCTCAAGCAGACTTCCTGCTGAACACGGAGCCCAACTTGGGGGTGGATCTCATGACCTATGAGATCATGACCTGATGACACCAAGAATTGGACGGTTAACCGACTCAGTCACCTAGGTGCCCCTGAAATATTTCAAAAATACAAAGAAGTATTCTTACTCTTAATCTTAACATATTCCATATCTGGTCAGTTTTTCATTAAAGGAAATAGGTATGCATAGCTGAAGTCCAGTTCACTGCTTCCTTCCCAGAGATAATCACTACCCTGTATTGGTCTAGTCATTCCATGCCTGTTTGTACTGGTAGGATGGAGAAATATTTAGTACTTAAGTTTTCAGACATTATATAACACAGGCAATTCTGCAACTTATTAATTACATTGGTATTTTTTTGGGATTTATACTTGCTGACTCACGAGGCTATTACCTATTTTCCTGCCATGTAAAAATCTACTGTATGACTATTACTGCATGTATACCACTGCTTACCTATGAATCCTCAATGATGCCAGAGTTGTTTCACTTAAAATTTTTAACAATTACTAAAAATAAAGTTTTGATTCCTTTCAATTCTTATCTATCTTTTCCTTGCTGTACTCTACCAGCTAGGAGTTTCACCACAATGGTAAATAGAAGCTTGATGTGGACTTGCCCATTTCTTCTTAAAATTTTGGCAATTTTGTATTTATATTTTGAGACTATTTTGTTTAGTGTATAAAGCTTATACTTATTATTTCTTCTTTTTTTAGGGGGGACGGGCAGCCAGGCGCCCCTTGTTATATATTCTTTTATGGATCAGTCATTTTTATTATTATTGTGTAGTCTCTTTTTGATCCTAATTAATGTCTTCCACCTTAAATTGTACTTTGTTCTATGTTACTACTAATACTGTTCTATATTCCAGTCCTCTTCACTCTTAAGCAGGCCCCACACCCAGCACTGAGCCTGATGCAGGGCTTCATCTCAGGACCCCACCAAGATCATGACCTGAGCCGAAACCAAGAGTGAGACGCTTAATAGACTGAGCCACCCAGGCGCCCCTAGAGAATAAACTTTCAGTCCTTCTTCACTGTGGCTACACAGAGTTGAAGAGGGTGTCTGGCAATCTGAACTTTCTTTAAACAACTTCTAGTCAAAATCTCTGTCCTTACGCCTACTTTCAGAGGTTCCTGATGTGTCACAAACGAACTTTTGGGTAATCTATGAAGCACATTGATTGGCTGTTGCCTTTTCCTACTGCTGACCTGAGATTTAGTTCTCTCTGGTTGATTGAGTTAGTGGCCACTCATCTATTTTCTTCTAAAACTGTGTTGCTATTTCATCTCCCACTCTCTCCTTTCTTTTGAGGGTTTATGCCTATTTATTTTTTAATCATGGAATTAAGCAGATTCAAAAATAGATGGAATAATATGATGGATCACTGTGTCCCATCATCCAACTTTAATATTACCAGCTCATGGCAATTTTGTTTCATTCATACCCTGTTCACTCCCCAACCTTCCATATTATTTTGAAGTAAATCTAAGACATTACTCATTTCATTAATAAATATATGAGTATCTCTTAGTGATAGTACATGGTCTCCTTTTAAAAAATACCATTATTGGCCCTAAGAAATGCACTAATACTTCCCTAATACTTGATATTCAAATTTACTATTATTTAATAAAGATAATAAAAAAAAATCCTGGGTTGTCTGTTTTGGTCAGGATCCAAATCAGGCCCCCACACTGCAACTGGCTGAGGACTCTCAAAACTTGTAGGTTATAGCAGGGTTCTCAATCTCAGCACTATTGGTATTTTGAGCCGCACTGTTCTTCATTGGGGGAGCTGTCTGTGCCCCCTTGGCCTCTTCCTACTAAATGCTAGTAACATGCTCAAAGCAGCGACAACCCTGAATGGTGGCAGGACTGGGCGCAAAATCATGTCTGGTTGAGAACCCCACTGGTTTATACATAGCCTCTCTATCCACCCCCCTTTTGTTTGATGAAGAAACTAGGACTTCCGCCTGTAGAACTGATCAAGCATAATGCCTTATTTTTTTTCTTTCTCTTTATCGACATGTAAGTGCAGTTTCAAGGAAGAGGGATGTATTTGTGTCAATCTTCCATCTTTACCAGAATTCCACTCTCCACAGTACTAATTTCATTGTCCCCTATTACGACAGACTCCGGTGACCACCCTAATCCAAAATAGGTGCTTTCTGTTCTTCTCCATCTCAGCACTTACTTATTTCACAATACTTATCACATTCTGTAATTATTTATCTACTTCTTTATTATGTCTGTCTACCTGGCTGGAATGGAAAGTTCCTGAGCTCAGGGATCCTGTTTCTTCTCTTTTTAGTACCTTGCACAAGAAGGACATAGAAGGCACTGTAGCAGGTATTTGTTGATTAAACAGAACAAAACTGTAACATAGATTTCAAGGTGTAGTAATCTTTTTTTATCTTTACAGAAAATTCAATTACTTTATGCTATGTAAGAATTACTTTATGCAGAAAAGAACATTTTATTAGAAAGGATGTAGAGAAAAAAGTACTTATATGTATATCTCTGACAGAACTGTAAATTGGTATAGCCATATCTGGTGGCAAATTAAAGTACTGATGAAAACTTAAAATGTATATCAATGTTTCCCAACTTTTATATACTAATTGCAAAGGAACTTGTTAAAATGTAGATTCTGACTCAGTAAGTCTGATGCCTAAGATTCTGTATTTCTAAGAAGCTCCCAGGAGATGCTAATACTATTAATCCACAGATAACATTTTAGGTACTAAGGATGTATGAATGCTATACCTCAACAGTTCATTTCGTGGTATGTATCTCAGTGAAAGATTTAGTCACATGCAGAAGGAAAAATGCAGAATGATCTTCACTGAAACTTGTTTGTCAATTGTCTAAAAACTGGAAATGTCCTAAGCTCCCATCATTAAAGCAGATGCTAAACAAACAATATCCGCACTATGAACTACTAAAAAGGAGTTTTAAAAATGAGATAGATCTACATGATTACAAATGGGAAGACTGCTGAGATAACCACCTGCAAACTGCTGTATGTTTGATTAACAACCCAACTACATGTAAAGCTGTGTGTAAAACCCAAACAGAGAAGTTGGTATTTTCTAAGTTGGAACTTGAATGGAGAGTGAAGTTTAAGCGTTCTTTATATAGGGTACTATGGTAGGTGCTACCTATATAACTAAAAATAAATTTAAAAAGAAGCAAGAATCTTCTTACCCAGATGATTCTGTAGTTCTCGTGTCTGCCCATCTTCAGTTGGAGTAATGAGATCCCATATGAAGCCTTTAATTTTCTCATCTCCTCGGTAGTGAACAAGGCAATATGCTAAGAGGGCTCGGCAAATTATTTCTATATCATGCTCGTTCAGCTGTCTCTTAAAACGGCCATGAGACAGAATCTCTCTCCATCGGCCCCATCTGGTTAAAAAGGTATATTTACATTAATATTGAGTCAAGTTCTAGAGAAAAACAGAACTCATGGACAAAAGGCTTGAAAACTGCAAAAAAAACACATGTTGTCATTAATAGGAATTACCTAATAAAGTCCCCCTGCAATCCCCGCAAGTAAAATGCAGAGCCATGGTAGAGTGATTTCGAGTGTATCTTATTCAATAATGGATAACAAGATTATCCATTTTATATTACTAAATATGCAAATCTCAGAACAACAAGGAATTTGACTTCAGTGATACATTTATAATTTACAAATTAAGGATATTCCATCATTCTGCTAATAAATATATGTTAAACATAATAAATTTAGGGAACTTTACACAGATTTTATTGATTCTAACAAGATAAAAAAAACAATACAGAATTTGGTATATGTTTTTTGTAACTTTATATAGCAGACTACTAACAAGAAACATTAAAAACAGTATTTTACCCATAAACTAGAAGATTTTTCTCTACTCTAAAGCATTCAGTTCTTCCATAGCCATTGGAACGGTCACAGGGTCTCCGGAGTTTGGGTTTTTCATCTCCTTCACTTTCGGCTTCAGATAATTCAGCCAATTCATCTTTTGTGGCACTAAAGGGTCTTGTTTGCTTCCTAATTCTTGGAGTGTCAATAACCAAGCTGTTCTGTAAAATTTAACAGCTATTACTTGAAGGTCATTTTACTATTTTGCTTACAACAGTGTCTTTACATTTTCACCTTTCAAATGATACAGAGAATAGAGTAATTATAAAAAGCCAGAAAACAGAAATTACTAACAATTTCTTTTTTTTTTTTTTAAACATTTTATTTATTTGACAGAGAGAGACACAGCAAGAGAGGAACACAAGCACGGCGAGTGGGAGAGGGAGAAGCAGGCTTCCCGCCAAGCAGGGAGCCCGATGCAGGACTCGATCCCAGGACCCCGGGACCATGACCTGAGCTGAAAGCAGACGCCTAATGACTGAGCCACCCAGGTGCCCAGAAATTACTAACAATTTCATCAACCTACCAAATCAACTTAAAAATTTTTATATTCCTTTAAAATCCTCATTATCATACACATATAATATTGTGACTTTACAGTCATAGGATGAAAAGAATTTGGTATCTGGCTTTATTATTATTATGAGTTATTGTGTTATGGTTCTATAATAACCATAAAATATATTATTAAACTACATTTATGCATCTTAATTTTCTTTACTTAATTTGTAGTTTAGATTGTTTTCAAGTTTTAAAATAAATAATGCTCAAATAAATCTTTGTAATCTAAGTTTATCCCAAAGATAAATCCCAAAAAGGGGAAATATCCAGGACTGAAAATACTGGTCAAAGGATAGAAGTATTTTTTTAAAAATTTATTTGATTGAGAGAGAGAGAAAGAGAGAGAGCATGCAAGTGCACAAACAGGGGTAGGGGAAGAGTCACAGGGAGAAGCAGACTCCCCACTGAGCAGGGAGCCCGATGCAGGGCTTGATCCCAGGACCCTGGGATCATGACCAGAGCCGAAGGCAGACGCTCAACCGACTGGGCCACCCAGGCGCCCCAGGGATATAAATATTTTATGGATCCAGAGACATGTTTTAGTCTTTTCCAAAAGAGTTATATTAATATACAAAAAGCAAGGTAATAAGTGTATAAAACCTTACCATATTCATTCAGTTTAATTCATTCAAAACAACTTTTAAGTTGATATGCTTTTTACCTTCAATGAAAAGTTTCTAAGTTAGAAAGATATACTTTGAGAATATGTAAAAAGTCTGCTTCTCCTTCAATCTCATCCACTAATTTTAGAACTCATCAATGGATCTTGTCTGCTACAGTTATGGCTGTGGTAGGTCAATGGTAGGATTTTTCTATCTCTTACTCCTTCTGTATTTGTTAATCGGCCTTCTTCAGTAAGAAAGAGTTGTCCCTTTGCCCTGCCCCAGCTTCTTTAAAAACAAAAAAATACCCTAACTGTATTTTTTGAGAAAATTTTCAAACATCTTTTGCCCATAATCTTTTGAGATTTTGATGTGTTTCCTTTTTTTCCCTATTTTTAAAAGATTTATTTATTTGAGAGAAAGTGAGCAAGCAGGAAGAGGGGCAGAGGGAGAGAGAGAATCTCAAGCAGACTCCCTGCTGAGTGCAGAGCCCAATGCTGGACTTGATCCCAGGACCCTGAGATCATGACCTGAGCTGAAATCAAGAATTGGGCTCAACCGACTGAGCTACCTAGGTGCCCTTGATTTTGATGTGTTTCTGATCACCTTATATTAGCTTTCATATAATTAAGATATTAACTTTCATGTACACTTTTGTTATAAGTCTCACCAGTCTCACTGCCTTTCTATTGTCCATTATATACTTCTTAGTCTTATATATTTGGGTATGCCAATCATTTCCTTTGTGATTTCTTTTTAATTTAGAATGTCTTCCCACAAAGTATTTGATAAAATAGAAATCTAGTTTTTCTATTTTTTTCATGCTTTCAAAAAATTTTATTTTGTTGTTTTTTTTTTAAGATTTTATTTATTTGACAGAGCGAGAGTGAGAGAGCACAAGCAGGGGGAGCAGCAGAGGGAGAGGGGGAAGCAGGCTCTCTGCTGAGCAGGGAGCCCGGTGCCGGGCTCGATCCCAGGACTCTGGGATCATGACCTGAGCTGAAGGCAGATGCTTAACTGACTGAGCCGCCCAGGTACCTTACTTGCAAAAATTTTTAAAAAAATTTATCACTAACTGGAGTTTACCTGGTATAGAGTATATCATTATAATGTCCCCCCAGTGCTAACTCAAAGTCCTAATCACGATTATTAAATAATTCCTTTTTCTCTAATACTATTTCTTTATTAAAACTTAATTTGATCTTTTTCTGTTATTTTATTCTTTGTTCTTTATATCTTTTTCTCAGTATCATGCTGTTTTAATTATTGTTCCTTTATAATATTTTAATATGGTTTAACATGTAGTAAACAACTAGTTTGTCTTCTCTGTACTTCATTTTCAGAAAAACTTTAAATTTTTTGGTGAAATATAAATAAGAAAATGTAATTATACAAGCATTAAATGAATACGTGCTTACATAAGTTTATTTATAAATTGCTTAACTCTTCAGGGTAATCTTCAAGGCCCTATGATATGACCCATACCTATGGTCTCTGACCTTGCCTGTCACCTCCTCACTAACTGCCTACATTCTGCCACAATGTCACTTCTATTTCTGGAATACACGGAGCTTATTTCCACCAATGGCTCACTGCCAGCCCCTGTACCTTGAAAGATTTTCCTCATGTCTTTACATTGTTGGCTCTTTCTGGTCATTCAATCTCAGTACAACTGTCCCCTCAGTGACCTCCCCTGACCACCTGATTTCATGCTGTCTCCACACCTCCCAGCATTCTCTACCATTGACTATTCTATCTTCTTCACTCTCTGAAATCATCTTACGTATGTGTTTACTTCTGTCTCACCACCAGAATTCGTAAGCTCTATCAAAGCAGTGGTAGATTTGTCTTGTGCACATGAGCCCTATTGTGAGAAAGGTGCTTGACTTATAGTGTGCATATATGCATAGGAGTGTCTGTAGATCCCCAATATATCCTTTTGAAAAATCATAAACAAATATACTATAAGCATTGTTCTATATCCCCCTCTCCTTTTTTATTTTTTTTTAAAAGATTTTATTTATTTATTTGAGAGAGACACAGCAGGAGGGAACACAAGCAGGGGGAGTGGGAGAGGGAGAAGTGGGGCTGGATCCCAGGACCCTGGGATCATGACCTGAGCCGAAGGCAGACGCTTAACCAACTAGGCCACCCAGGCGCCCCACCCCCCTCTCCTTTTAAATTTAACTGTTTTGGAGGTCTTTATGGGTCAGTAGTACATAGGGATATACATGATTATATTTACTTTTGCATTAAACAGGAATGGATGTATTAATCCTCTGTCATAAGCGATTTAGCTTCAAGTTTTTTTCTAAAACAAAAAAATGTGGCAATGAGCATCACTGTACTATATTATCACTGTACATGTATGACTATTGTTGTAAGACAGGTTCCTAAAAGTGCATTTAATTTTCTTGACAATTCATTTTTCCAGGGGAACTTTAGATATTATCTGGTTATATGAAAAAATTGTTAACATTTTGATTTGGGTTGCATTTCTATGTTTAAAAATTCTTAAGGGCGCCTG